GCCACTTCCGGCTTTTTTCTTTTTGCTTATGTGGTGCTGAGGAATCGAACCCAGGGCCTCGAGCATGCAAGGCAAGCGCTCTACCACTGAGCTACATTCCCAGCCCAACATGAGACTCTTATCTCCAATAAACCACCAGGAAACCAGAAGTGGTGCTGTGGATCAAGTGGTAGAGCACTTGCCTTGAGTTGAAGAGCTGAGGGACAGTGCCCAGGCCCAGCATTCAAGCCCCACAACCAACAAATAAAGTAAAATAAAAGGAAATGTATACCTTTCCCAGATGTAGTAGGGCCTGAGTGCTATAATCCTAAATATTTAGGAAGCTGAGATATGAGGATCATAGTTTGAAGCCAGCCAGGGGAAAGAAAACCAGTGAATCTCTTATGTCCAACTATCAAAAAACCCAGAAGTGAAGCTGTGGCTCAAGTAGTAGAGCACTAGATACAGGCTCTGGGAACAAGCACCAGGACCAGCATAATAAATAATACATACATACATACATACATAAACACAGAATAGCTTGACAACCGGCTACCAAACAAACGGTGACATCTCTTTAGGTTAGGTTAGGAAACAGTGCTGTAGTGAAAAAAGTGTCATCCTCAGCACTGGAGAAGTATGATTTGCAGTTCTGGCTGATATGTGGTAGTGTGTATCCCTGAGTAATCTCTGAGTCTCAGGTTCCTAATATGACAGTGAATATTAATAACCTGCTCCTCATTTCCATTCTTATATGATCCTAGACCATAAGCTCTTAGGACACGTAATTTGCAACTTTGTGGCCAGAGCTCAAAATAGCAACCTGAAACATAGCAGATATTTACTTACAATGACTGCTGAGCCCATGTGACTCCCTTTGAACTCCACATCTCCTGCATGGTCTCTCTATATTATCTCTCCAATAAACGGAACTCCTACTGGAAAGCCTTCCTCATTGATGTGGAGTTCCCCAATAACTTCCATTAAATGACCCCTGAAAAACCACAGGGTTGGAGACAGGCCTCAGAGTACTGGGGAGAATGGATTTCGACCATCTACTCAAATCTGCACTGTAGTAAGCAAAGTACAAGATTTTGTGCGCACACCCCTTGATAAATGCACTTTCTCTCGTTGTTTGTTTTGAGGTTTTCTGTTTGTTTTTGTTCCAGTACTGGGGTTTGAACTCAGGGTCGCGAGCTCAAACTCTTGCATAGCCTTTTCCACTCAAAGCTGGTGCTCTACCACTTGAGCCACACTGCGCCACACCTTCACTTCTGGCTTTTTGTTAGTTGGCGATAAGGCTCTTGGATTTGCCCAGGCTGGATTCGAACCTCGATCCTAAGATTTCAGCCTCCTGATTTACAGGCGTGAGCGACCAGCTCCCAGCAATAGGTGCACTTTAAATAGGCTGATTATCTTAACGGAAAAGCTACGAGCCTCGGGAGACTAGGTTATTAAGCAGAGAGCCTTACATAAGCTTTTGCATGTCTTTCTCAATAGACTGTAAGCTCCCCATGGGCAGAAGCGCGACAAACATTTGCAAAAGAACTTAAAGAACGAGTGCACATCGCTGGCACGGGCGGACTCGCTCAGAGACTACTCAATCCGTAACCAGGGGCCCACACGTCTCCCCTAGCTAAAAACACTGCGGTGCCACAGCAGAGTTCTCGGCCTACGTCCGACACCCCACGGCTGAGGTTCACGACACACCCGTTTCGTCCCCGCTCCGCCAGGTGCAGCTCAGCACCCTTCCCAGACTTGCGCGCCAGCCCTTGTCGGCCCAGGTCTGCACCTTCATCCCCAGGACATCTCGAAAGAAACGCGCCGTCTGGGAACGGTTCCCCACTTTGAATACGAAGTGCAGAGCTCGGCGAGCAGCCATGACTCCCACCGCTGAAGCGACCGACCTCGTACAACGCCGCCCCGCCCACAGGTGGCGCGACTGGCCGGTGACGTCAATAGTCGGCGACGGCGCGCCTCCTTGACGCGAGGAAGATGGCGGTGCTGGCCAAGAGCTCGAGATGTGTGTTGAGACCGTTGCTGCCTTTGGTTCAGATTTGGGACTTCGATGCGCGGCGCTGGGTCCGGGCACTTCGACGAAGTCCTGTGAAAGTAATGTTTCCATCAGGAGAGGTGTTGGAGCGGAGGCGTCTTCCCAGGAAACAGCCCCACGAGTTAGCGTCCGAGGCCAAGTCCCAGGGGCAGAAACCTAAACCATCGCCTCAGATGTCCTCATCCCAGACACCTCGTTCCTGGGAAGAGACAGGGCTGCGCTACGATAAGGCCTATCCCGGCGACAAGAGGCTGAGGTGATGTACCTGACGCTTGTCGACTGTTTTCATTCCCCCCCCCTCCCTACCTTCACTGCGGGCCTATAGCCCTCTCCCTTATAGAATGCTTCCAGTAGACACTCCGCAGGTTCTTGATGTTTCTGTTTTGTATAAGAATCCCCTTTAGAATTTCTGTCCCTGAGAAGTCTGAGCTAGCGGTGTCTCAATCATTGATATCGGTATTCACCCATCTTTTCTTCTTTTTTCCATTCACAGTAATGTGATGACAATAGTTAAGTCCAGACCATTTCGGGAAAAGCATGGCAAGATCCTGCTGGAAGGTCACAGGCTGATTGTCGATGCTCTCAAGGCTGGAGCTGTGCCCAGCGTTTTCTTTTTTAGCCGTCTGGAATACATCAAGGAGTTGCCAGTCGATAAGCTGAAGGGTGTCAGCCTCATTAAGGTGAAATTTGACGATATCAAGGATTGGTCCGATGTAGTAGCACCACAAGGAATAATGGGTCAGTGATTACATACTGTTGTCCATAGGTGTAGAAACCTAGAATTTGTTTTTCATACTTAAGATCAATCTCACAAACCCAGCTCAAAATATTACTGCCTAATCTAAGAAAACCTATGCATTTTAAGATACTTACAGTGGAGACTGAAGCCAATTTCTTACCATCTATAATGTGTCTCTCTCTAGTCTCTAGGAAGAGCCACACTTCTTCAGACTTTGTGTTCTTAGGAGATTTGTTCCAGCCTTTAATATCAGACTAAAAATTAAAGAACTTTTTGAAAAGTTTAGCTCTCCATTTTCACAAAACTTGTGTCAGTATGGTAATAACTGACCTTCCTTGAGACCATTATTTGAGAAGAAGGTATAAAGAGTGAGAACAAAGTTGGAACTTTTTTTCCCTGTTTAGACTAATGAATAGATAACTGTCTTCTAAGAGTTTTCTTTATCTGGTTGAATGAACTTAAGGTTTTATGTGACCACAGAGTCTGCTACAACTTAGGAAGCCTTTTATCCTCATCCTCTCTTTTTTAAGTTTTTTGTTTAAATAATGCTATTTCATCTTTTTTTTTGGGGGGGGGGCGGGAGGTCCGGTCGTGGACCTGAACTCTGGGTCTGGGTGCTGTCCCTCAGCTCTTCAGCTCAAGGCTAGCGCTCTACCACTTGAGCCACAGTGCCACTTCTGGCTTTTTTCTTT